TCAATTGCCAATCAAAAAACAAAAAATAAAAAATTGACTGGTTATTTTGTTTTTTGTTTTTTATCGTTAAACCAAAAACGAAAAAAGGATTGGTTTTTCATATTTCAATTCTAAGCTCAGATCAAGAATACGAAATGGAAAAACGGACAGCAACGCAGAATTTGATTTTAATATTTAATCGGTACAGTTTACATGACCCGGAAGTTTGGTGGAGCGTTAGCTAAAAAAACAATTGGCTTACTCCCACCACGTTCGATCAAACTGCACCAGATAAGGCAGTCGGACCTATCAGCCATGGACAGTTACGTTTTATTTCGAGGATCCAAGCGTGTGACTCTTGAGGAGGACATGACAACGGAGAAAATTTGCAGGATTTTCCAGGTATAACTTTTTTCTTGAAACTTTTCTGTGCACTGTACTTTTAACTAGCAACAACAAACAGCTTCTCGATCAACATAGTGTGTGGTTCTAGCGTCGCCATGGTAGCTACTTCATTACCCCAACTGCTGCGCAAAGAGCTATTTCCGGGTCACGTAAACTGTACTGATTAAATATTAAAAACAAATTCTGCGTTGCTGTCCGTTTTTCCATTTCGTATTCTTGATCTGAGCTTAGAATTGATATATGAAAAACAAATCCTTTTTTCGTTTTTGGTTTAACCATAAAAAACAAATAACAAAATAACCAGTCAATTTTTTATTTTTTGTTTTTTGATTGGCAATTGAAAATAGAAAGAACGAATGATACACGGATTTGGGCCAAACCGCTCATGTTGTCTTTCATTAATACCACTACACAGACGGAGATCAACTTGTCATCCCTTCAACGGTCAGGTTTTTTTTTTATGCCAGAAAAAGGACATCACCCTCACTACAATCTGGTTCACAACAACTTTTTCTTTTTCTAATTCAACTGAAGATGGCGAGCTAAGACCTCTACCTGTGCGGTAGGATACAGACTCTTCTTTCCTATAAGGATAAAAACTATTCTCTTCTCAACCCTGGATTACCATAGCGTATGGACTAATAATCTAACCTAACTGAACCTTGGGGACAATTAATCAAAAACTGTTTTGTTATTAATGTTTGTGTGTTTGTTGTTTTTTTTTTTGTGTGTGTCTTGGCCACTTTAATACAAAACTAGTTAAACCTTATTTTTGTCTCTGTGATTATTCACACCTCGGGCTCCTCAACTAACCCTCTTCTGGTAACATCTTTCTACATCTATATAGTCAGTTCCTTTTCATTAGCCTTTAACAAGCGTTACAGATTGCTGAAGAGTCAATGAGTCGATGCAATCAGCTGGTTTTCCTTAGATAGAAAACTTTGAATCAATCTGACTGGATGATCTGGTGAACTGGAAAGTGACCTGAGATGACATGATGTGAACTGGAGCTATAGAAATAAACTGAATAGAATAGAATGCTGTTGACTCTGGATTTGCTAATCTGACAGAACTTCTCTTTGCCAAAGTTTCCTTAACTCTTTAAGATTTGGTCACAGAAACATCTCTTTGTAGCTTTTGCTCTTTAAACCTGGAACTAAACGCTATTTCTGACATTTTGAAGTGAAAAATCTTCCTGGATGGAAGAGAAACGTCTTCAGATTGTGAAACAAAGTCCAGAGGATTGATTTTAACTTTTTTGGAATGATCTCTGGGTTTATTGCCTGAGAGAAAATCAACAGTCACTGATTTACAGAAAACCTTCCTGAAGTAGCCTCTGCCTCTATCTTTTTAATATTTAAATAAAAAGGTGGATTTTTCTGATTACTGGGTAGAAAATGACTAAAATAATCTGGAATTAAAGGTGGATTTTACTGATTACTGGGCAGAAAATGACTAAAATAATCTGGAATTAAAGGTGGATTTTTCTGCTAATCTTTAGTCGTTTAAGAGGCTCGATCTGATGCATCGCGCTGCTCTACTCCTCACTGACCTGTCAGCCCTGCTCTCCTCGTTAAGTCAGAGCCTAACGAGGCTCAGACTCATTGGGTCATTTTAAAGGGATGCGATCTGCTGTCTCTGCCTCAGCTTCCTGTTTCCATGGAAACCATGGAGCCTTGGACCTGCATCTTTGGGCTGAATGTGAAACAGCTTAGCGGCTGTTAGCGCTTCTGCAGGACAGGGTTCAGTAAATCAACAGAAAGAGCAACCAAAGCTCCAGCTTACCTTCTGGTATTCCAAAGGTTCCCAGGATGGCTTCGACCAGACCCAGCACATAGAGGGCGCTGCCGCACACATTAGCCAGGAAGAACATGAGGCCGATGCTGCCACCGAACTCTGGACCCAGAGCGCGGCTGATCATATCTGAGCATCACCTTAAGGAGAAGTTCACAGTGATGGTGCCACGCAGCCGTCTGCTTTTCCACAGCTTCTCATTTCTGCTTCACTGATGAACGGAGAGGAAATACTCGCCCTGTTTTTAGGAAGTTTGACGTAAATAAGAAATAAAAACCTTTAGACCAGCGAATACCTGACGTACGAAAAAGCTAAAACGCAGGCATACGTTGGATAAGTTATGAGCACGCTGAAGTACGCTGAAGTACGCAGAAACATGCTGATGTACAAAGAAACACTCTGAAATACGCTGAAGTACCCTGAAGTACGCTGAAACACTCTGAAATATGCTGGAGTACCCTGAAGTACGCTGAAGTACGCTGAAACACTCTGAAATACACTGGAGTACCCTGAAGTACGCTGAAGTACGCTGAAACACTCTGAAATACACTGGAGTACCCTGAAGTACGCTGAAGTACGCTGAAACACTCTGAAATATGCTGGAGTACCCTGAAGTACGCTGAAGTACGCTGAAACACTCTGAAATACACTGGAGTACCCTGAAGTACGCTGAAGTACGCTGAAACACTCTGAAATACACTGGAGTACCCTGAAGTACGCTGAAGTACGCTGAAACACTCTGAAATACACTGGAGTACCCTGAAGTACGCTGAAACACTCTGATGTACGCTGGAGTACCCTGAAGTACGCTGAAACACTCTGATGTACGCTGGAGTACCCTGAAGTACGCTGAAACACTCTGAAATATGCTGGAGTACCCTGAAGTACCCTGAAGTACGCTGAAACACTCTGAAATACGCTGAAGTACCCTGAAGTACGCTGAAGTACGCTGAAACACTCTGAAATACACTGGAGTACCCTGAAGTACGCTGAAACACTCTGATGTACGCTGGAGTACCCTGAAGTACGCTGAAACACTCTGAAATATGCTGGAGTACCCTGACGTACGCTGAAACACTCTGAAATACACTGGAGTACCCTGAAACACTCTGAAATACACTGGAGTACCCTGAAGTACGCTGAAACACTCTGATGTACGCTGGAGTACCCTGAAGTACGCTGAAACACTCTGAAATATGCTGGAGTACCCTGAAGTACGCTGAAACACTCTGAAATACACTGGAGTACCCTGAAACACTCTGAAATACACTGGAGTACCCTGAAGTACGCTGAAACACTCTGAAATACACTGGAGTACCCTGAAGTACGCTGAAACACTCTGAAATATGCTGGAGTACCCTGAAGTACGCTGAAACACTCTGAAATACGCTGAAGTACCCTAAAGTACGCTGAAACACTCTGAAATACACTGGAGTACCCTGAAGTACGCTGAAGTACGCTGAAGTACGCTGAAACACTCTGAAATACACTGGAATACCCTGAAGTACCCTGAAGTACGCTGAAGTACGCTGAAACACTCTGAAATACACTGGAGTACCCTGAAGTACGCTGAAACACTCTGATGTACGCTGGAGTACCCTGAAGTACGCTGAAACACGCTGAAATACGCTGGAGTACCCTGAAGTACGCTGAAGTACGCTGAAACACTCTGAAATACACTGGAGTACCCTGAAGTACGCTGAAACACTCTGAAATACACTGGAGTACCCTGAAGTACGCTGAAACACTCTGATGTACGCTGGAGTACACTGAAGTACGTTAAAACACTCTGAAATACACTGGAGTACCCTGAAGTACCCTGAATTACGCTGAAACACTCTGATGTACGCTGGAGTACCCTGAAGTACCCAGAAGTACGTTAAAACACTCTGAAATACACTGGAGTACCCTGAAGTACGCTGAAACACTCTGATGTACAAAGAAACACGCTAAAACACGCTGAAATACGCTGGAGTACCCTGAAGTACGCTGAAGTACGCTGAAACACTCTGAAATACACTGGAGTACCCTGAAGTACGCTGAAACACTCTGAAATACACTGGAGTACCCTGAAGTACGCTGAAACACTCTGATGTACGCTAGAGTACACTGAAGTACGTTAAAACACTCTGATGTACAAAGAAACACGCTAAAACACGCTGAAATACGCTGGAGTACCCTGAAGTACGCTGAAGTACGCTGAAACACTCTGAAATACACTGGAGTACCCTGAGGTACGCTGAAACACTCTGAAATACACTGGAGTACCCTGAAGTACGCTGAAACACTCTGAAGTACACTGGAGTACCCTGAAGTACGCTGAAACACTCTGAAATACACTGGAGTACCCTGAAGTACGCTGAAACACTCTGAAATACACTGGAGTACCCTGAAGTACGCTGAAACACTCTGATGTACGCTGGAGTACCCTGAAGTACCCTGAAGTACGTTAAAACACTCTGAAATACACTGGAGTACCCTGAAGTACGCTGAAACACTCTGATGTACGCTAGAGTACACTGAAGTACGTTAAAACACTCTGATGTACAAAGAAACACGCTAAAACACGCTGAAATACGCTGGAGTACCCTGAAGTACGCTGAAGTACGCTGAAACACTCTGAATTACACTGGAGTACCCTGAAGTACCCTGAAGTACGCTGAAACACTCTGAAATACACTGGAGTACCCTGAAGTACGCTGACACACTCTGATGTACGCTAGAGTACACTGAAGTACGTTAAAACACTCTGATGTACAAAGAAACACGCTAAAACACGCTGAAATACGCTGGAGTACCCTGAAGTACGCTGAAGTACGCTGAAAAACTCTGAAATACACTGGAGTACCCTGAAGTACGCTGAAACACTCTGAAATACACTGGAGTACCCTGAAGTACGCTGAAACACTCTGAAGTACACTGGAGTACCCTGAAGTACGCTGAAACACTCTGAAATACACTGGAGTACCCTGAAGTACGCTGAAACACTCTGAAATACACTGGAGTACCCTGAAGTACCCTGAAGTACGCTGAAACACTCTGAAATACACTGGAGTACCCTGAAGTACGCTGAAACACTCTGAAATACACTGGAGTACCCTGAAGTACGCTGAAACACTCTGAAATACACTGGAGTACCCTGAAGTACCCTGAACTACGCTGAAACACTCTGAAATACACTGGAGTACCCTGAAGTACGCTGAAACACGCTGAAATACGCTGGAGTACCCTGAAGTACGCTGAAGTACGCTGAAACACTCTGAAATACACTGGAGTACCCTGAAGTACGCTGAAACACTCTGAAATACACTGGAGTACCCTGAAGTACGCTGAAACACTCTGAAGTACACTGGAGTACCCTGAGGTACGCTGAAACACTCTAATGTACGCTAGAGTACCCTGAAGTACGTTAAAACACTCTGATGTACAAAGAAACACGCTAAAACACGCTGAAATACGCTGGAGTACCCTGAAGTACGCTGAAACCAACTGAAGTACGCTGAAACCAACTGAAGCACGCTGAAACACTCTGAAATACACTGGAGCACCCTGAAGTACGCTGAAGTACGCTGAAACACTCTGAAATACACTGGAGTACCCTGAAGTACGCTGAAACACTCTGAAATACACTGGAGTACCCTGAAGTACGCTGAAACACTCTGAAATACACTGGAGTACCCTGAAGTACGCTGAAACACTCTGAAATACACTGGAGTACCCTGAAGTACGCTGAAACACTCTGAAATACGCTGGAGTACCCTGAAGTACGCTGAAACACTCTAATGTACGCTAGAGTACCCTGAAGTACGTTAAAACACTCTGATGTACAAAGAGACACGCTAAAACACGCTGAAATACGCTGGAGTACCCTGAAGTACGCTGAAACCAACTGAAGTACGCTGAAACCAACTGAAGTACGCTGAATTACGCTGAAACCAACTGAAGTACGCTGAAACCAACTGAATTACGCTGAAACCAACTGAAGTACGCTGAAACCAACTGAAGTACGCTGAAACCAACTGAAGTACGCTGAAACCAACTGAAGTACGCTGAAACCAACTGAAGCACGCTGAAACCAACTGAAGTACGCTGAAACCAACTGAAGTACGCTGAAACCAACTGAAGTACGCTGAAACCAACTGAAGCACGCTGAAACCAACTGAAGTACGCTGAAACCAACTGAAGCACGCTGAAACCAACTGAAGTACGCTGAAACCAACTGAAGTACGCTGAAACCAACTGAAGTACGCTGAAACCAACTGAAGTACGCTGAAACCAACTGAAGTACGCTGAAACCAACTGAAGTACGCTGAAACCAACTGAAGTACGCTGAAACCAACTGAAGTACGCTGAAACCAACTGAAGTACGCTGAAACCAACTGAATTACGCTGAAACCAACTGAAGTACGCTGAAACCAACTGAAGTACGCTGAAACCAACTGAAGTACGCTGAAACCAACTGAAGTACGCTGAAACCAACTGAAGTACGCTGAAACCAACTGAAGTACGCTGAAACCAACTGAAGTACGCTGAAACCAACTGAATTACGCTGAAACCAACTGAAGTACGCTGAAACCAACTGAAGTACGCTGAAACCAACTGAAGTACGCTGAAACCAACTGAAGTACGCTGAAACCAACTGAAGTACGCTGAAACCAACTGAAGTACGCTGAAACCAACTGAAGTACGCTGAAACCAACTGAAGTACGCTGAAACCAACTGAAGTACGCTGAAACCAACTGAAGTACGCTGAAACCAACTGAAGTACGCTGAAACCAACTGAAGTACGCTGAAACCAACTGAAGTACGCTGAAACCAACTGAAGTACGCTGAAACCAACTGAAGTACGCTGAAACAGGCTGTAATGTGAGCATTCACCAAAGGAAACCAGATGGGTTCTGTTCTTCCTGCCATTGGTTTTATTCTAACGTAGAGAAAACATAGAACTAAGGTAAACAGAGCGACTCCTGGAAGCTCTCAGCTTCAGTCTGATCCAAAGCATCAGGAAGCAGAAAGCAGGAAATCTGCCAACATGCTGGAGATAAAGAACGTCAGACTGATCTGCTCCATGTCTGCCTCCTTCTCCCTGCATCACAGGATCCTGGTTTCAGCCTCAGCCCAGCCTGACTGACTGACTGACTGACTGACTGACTGCGGCTGGTTTCCAGGGGATCAGTGGGGAACATGCAGACTGCCATGGCGGTCTGCACCGCGCCCAGACGGCCGATAATGTCCCTGCACTGACTGTCACATGCAGACGCTCACATGACGGCGTGTGAGCGTGTGAGCAGGATACAGTAGGCCCCTCCAGCGTCCAGCGCT